AATTGAAAACCAAAAGAATGGACCGGTATCTAAAATCATAGGAACCACCAAAACTAAACCAAGATGAGATCAACAGCTTAAACAGATCCATAACATATAAGGAAACTGAAATGGAAATACAAAACCTCCAGATTGAAAAAAGCCCAGGCCCAGATGGATTCACAGCAGAATTCTACGAGACATTTAAAGAAGATTTATATCCAAGCGCGTCTTTGATCCCAGTACTCGGGAAACAGGTGAATCTCTGAGTTCAAGGCCTGTCTGGTCTACATAGTGAGTTCCAGGCCATCTGGGGCTACAAGGAGACCCTCTCCCGAAACAAACAACAACAAAAAAGCATTTAAGTAATCAAAACTAGTTATAAATAAAGAAAAACCAAATTACAAAAATGTTTCCAATAATCATGATGGTCAAATGGTGGTATTTTTTATTTTTATTTATTTTACTTTTTATTTTTATTTGTGTATATGTGTATGTTTCTGTGTGTATGTGTGTGTTTATGTGTCTGTGTGTATGCCACATGTGTGTAGGTACCCATGGAGGCCAGAAGAAGGTGTTGGATCCCCTGAAGCTATAGTTACAGGCAGTTGTGAGCCACCCAACAGGGTACTGGGAATCAAACTCAGGTCCTCTAGAAGAGCAGCAATCACTCTTAACCGCTGGGCCATCTCTCCAGTCCCTAGTAGTATCCTTAAAATCTAAAGAATGTACTAAAACCAGGTCTGCTGGTCAGACGTGTGAGGTGGAAGACCTCAGACTCAGAAGCCTGAGGCAAGAGGATTCAAGGCCTGTCTCAGGTATCCAATGAGCTTAAAGCCAGTCTGGGTAACTTAAGAAGACTTTGTCTTAAAAAATTTTTTTTCATATCTGGTAATACAGCTCAGTGATAGAAGTCTAGATGGAGTGAGATCTTGGGTTCAATCCCCAGTACCCAAACCAGGATACACTAAATTAATGAGAAATACTAAAACCTCAGAGAAAATAGGTAAAAGGCACAAATAGTTCACTAAAAAAAGGTAAGAACATATAATGACCATAAAAACTGACTTTCAGAATAAGCTAAGAAACTGTGAAACAAAGTAATATACCATTATTTGCTCATAAAATTAGCAGAAAGGAAAAAATAAAAGTCATGGTTTAAATATGGAATTATAGAAGCTTTCAAATACAGGCTGAGTAAAAAGGAAAATTAGTAAAATGTTTTTTAGAAACTATCAATATTCAAAAATACTAAAAAAATTCATGATCTTTTACTACATGTCTTAAGTGGGAATATGCAAGAAGTCATTGGAATTTTGACAGGTTTGAATACAAAAATGTTTGATATGGTTTTTTTTTTAATTGATTCAAGAATTTCATACAAGATTGGTATGGTGACACACAACTTTAATCCCAGCACTTGGGAGGTAGAGGTAGGTGCAGCTCTATGAAACTGAAGCCAGCCTTGTCTACATGCAAGTTCCAGGCTAGCTGGGGCTACAGGGAGACCATGTCTCAAAAAAAAGAAAGAAAAACGGGGGGGGGGGGGAAAGAGAAAGAATTTCATACTATGTATTTTAATCATCTTCTAGATCCCCTGCCCCACCTCTACTCCATTTACTAGTCCCCTCCCAACTTCATGTCCCCTCTCTCTTTTTCTTAAAGACCTATGAAGTCTAATCTGTGTTTCTCAAATGCTCTTGGTTGTGAGTCCATCCCTTGGAGTCAGGTCAGTGTACCTGGTGTCATTCCAGTAAGGAAAACTGGCTCTCTCTCTTTCAGCATCTATCAATTCCCAATAGATCCCATGCTGGACCCTGTCTGGCTTGGGTTTCACAGGTCTTGTGCATGCTGTCATAAGCACTGTGAGCTCACTTGTGCAACTCTGGGGTGTCTAGACAATACAGTTTCCTTGTATTCATCTCTGCCTCTGCCTCTTACAATCTTTCCAGCCCTCTTCAATGATCTCTGAGCCTTGAGAGGAAAATGTGTGGTATAGGTATCCCCTTTAGGGCTGAGTACTCTTCGGTCTCTTAGTCTCTGCACATTAACCAGTCGTGGGTCCTGGTTAATATGCTATTTTTACTCTTCCTAAACAAAATATGATTTAAACATTCAGTGACAGAAGGTATCAACTGTAGAATGTCTGTTTGATGATAAACCTATGCAGTTATTAAAACACTCTCAAATAACATGTATTGATGTTGTTTGAACATTTCCTACAAATGTGTATGAAGGGCCTTAAAGATACTCACCCCTGGAAACTGGAGAGATGGCTCAGAGGTTAACAGCATATGCTACTCTTCCAAAGGACTCAGGTTTGGTTCCCAGCACTAATGTTAGGTGGCTCACAACTACCTGTAACTATAGCTCCAAGGGATCCAATGCCCTCTTCTGGCCTCCTTGGGTGTGCGCATGCACATGCGCGCATGTGTACACACACATATACAGCATACACTCACAACACACACATACACATAAATAAAAATTTTAAACAGTAAATTTAAAAATATTAAAAGATACTCACCCTTGGAACAACGTAGGGTATGTAAATTTCAAAACAGACAGGACATACTGAAAAACAAATTGCAGATTAATAGACACACTGAATGACAGAGAATTGATAGAGCATATAATGAAATTCTTATTGAAGAAATATAAGTACATTCAAATTTCTAAAATGCTTTCATTTCCCCAAATCATACAATTGGGCAGGGGGTTGGGGGAATGGCCTTCTAAACCTTACTGAAGAGAAGGGTTTTTTGTTTAGTTTTGGTTGGTTTGGTTTTTTGAGACAGGGTCTCCCTATAGCCCCAGCTGTTTTAGAACTCTTTATGTAGAGCAAGCTAGCTCACAGAGATCCACCTGCCTCCCAAGTGCTGGGATTTTTTTAAGTACAGCTCAGCTAAGGTAATTTGTATTATTTGTTGTGGTTGTTTATTTGTTCGAGACAGGATCTTACTCTGTAGCCCAGGCTGGCCTACAACTTGCTAGTAACCCAGGCAGGTCTCAGGCTTGAGACAATCCTGCAGTGATATCCTGAGTGCTTACAGATGTATGCCACCATTCCCAGCTTCAATTTGTACTTACACTGTCGCTTAAATTCTTTTGTGTGTGTGTATTGTGTCTACATAGTCATATGTGTGCTTGCAAACACAGGTGTGCCATGGCACATGTGTGGAGGTCAAAGGATGGCAACCTTGGGGTATCATACAGTCCTCACCTTCCACCTTGTTTTAGATAGAGTCTTTTGTTGTTCTCTGTTGACTATGCCAGGCTAACTGGCCTGCAAGCCTCTGGGGATTCTCCAGTCTCTGCCTCCCAGCTCCCTGAAGCAGTGCTGGGGATATACACTTTTTTACTCCACATCCACCTTTTACATGGGTTCTGGGGATCTGAACTGAGGTCCTCACAATTGAGCTGCCAGCACTCTCCCATAAGCCCTCTTCCCCGTCCTTCTATTAAATCTCTTAATCAAATTTATAGAACTTTGTAAATGGAGGAATTGTAGTTTTGAAGTATCTTTTTCTATTAAGAACACTTTATGGATTTTTTTTTAAGGCTGACACCATTAAATACTTAGGAAAGAACTCTGTTAATTCTCCACATGATCTTAAAAAAAAAATGGAGCCAAAACATTGTGCAAGCTCACCTAGGGATTTTCCCCAGGCATGAGTCTACCCAGAATTCTCCTTTGTGTGAACCAACACCATGATGATGGCTAATTTCCTGCACTGCATTCTACATGTATGATTCTTCCCTGAAGTGTTCTTACCACATAGATCAACGTGTTCCTCCCTTCCTTCCCCTGATGCTTTTATTCTGAACTAGAGAAAGGGAAAGGAGAAGTGAGCATGTCTGACCACCCATCATACCCAGGCACGTCCTTCATTATGATACCAAATATTGACTCAGTTTATTGTGTGCTTATTGTGTGTGTTATTATTACCTTTGGCCTAGACACTGGGGGAGATCTAAGATGCTGAAGCTCAGGGATGGGGGTATAGCTCCCCCCATTTGCCTAGCATATGTAAGGCTCTGGGTTCAATTGCTAGCACCATAAAACATAAAATGCTGAAGCTCTCACCTCACTTTTGCTAAAGAACAGTGAAAAAGGAAATCTGTGACAAATAGAAACTTAGTTCTAAATAGTCTCTGAGCTGGGTATGGTAGTGATGTCTGAAATGCCTGTACTCTAGAGGTAGCAGCAGAAAGATACAAATTCCAGGCCAGCCCGGACTATAGAGCAATACCCTGTCTTAGAAAAATAAATAGGGTGGTAGGATGGCTCAGGGGGTAAAGGCGCTTGCCACCAGCCATGATGACCTGAGTTCAATCTCCAGAACCCACATGGTGGAAGGAAAGAACCCATAAAAATGGCATAATTAGGGCTAGAGAGATGGCTCTACAGTTAAGAGAACTGGCTGCTCTTGTAGAAGACCCAGTTCAAGTCGCAGCACCTACATGGTAGCTAACTCCATAACTCCAGTTCCAGGGAATTTGACACCCTCTTCTGGCCTCCATGGGCATCACACACACACATGGTGCACTTACATGCAGGGAAAACATACACATAATAATATAAAATAAAATAAAATTCTAATGGGGCTGAAGAGATGGTCCAGCAGTTAAAAGCACTAGCTGCTCTTGTAAAGAGCCTGGGTTTGGTACCCAGGACCCACATGGTGGCTAACAGTCTATAACTTCAATTCCAAGGGATCTGACACCCTCTTTTGGCATTGCATACATGTGTGTGTTGCCCTTACACACATGCTGGAAAAACATTCATACATATAAAAACTAAAATAAATTTAATGGCATAATTATCACTACATAATATAATCACAGTTAATCAAAGCTTATAGACTTTTTCTGGCATTTTCCATTTGATATTTTTATACTGTGGTTGGCTGTGAGTACCAGAAACGACAGGTAATAGGAGATCAGTATACTTGATCTAAACTGACCAGCATAGCATGGACTGTAGGAAGGAAGCCTGACCGTCCTGGTTGAAAAAAAGCAAAGGACATAAAAGGTTCAAGATTGGGACTGGAGAGATGGCTCAGTGGGTGTCTTTGTTTCTTCATTGCTGTGACAAAATACTCTGACCAATATCAACTTGGGGAGGAAAGGGTTTATTCAGCTTACATCTCCCAGGTCGCAGTTCATCAGGGAGCCCAAGGTAGGAACTCGGGGCAGGAACCTGGAAGAAGGAGCTGGAGCACAGGCCATGGAGGAACGCTGCTTACTGGCTTGCTCCCCTGGCCCCTGCTCAGCCTGCTTTCTTATGCAACACAGGCCCACCTTCTCAGGGGCGGTACCACCCATAATGGGCTGGGCCTTCCCACATCACTCATCAAGAAAATGCCCCTCAAACATGGCCACAGGCCAGTGCAATAGAGGCAATTCCCCAGTTGTGGCTCCTTCAACCCAGGTGTGTCAAGTTGACACTAAAGCTATCCAGCACAGTGGGTAAACA